GGTGACAGGTCTCACTCATGGCCCAGAGGCACCACAGGTGACAGCTGGAGTTGCGGCAGCGCAAAGATCAGTCAAGTTGCTGTGACGTGCACCGTCAGTCAAACTTCTGAGATTTCACTGGGTTAGTGTGGTTAGTGTGCACCACCACTGTAGGGACTTGATTTCGGATAACCTATTTGGTCTCAGCCAGGTCACATAACCCAGGCCTAGCTCACTCCACCAATCCTGTTCGGGAAGAGAGCAATTGACTGAAGTCACTGCTGCCCCTTGTACTGCCAGTCCTGCTTGGTCCCAGAATGTCATCCTCCAGAGTCCCCCTATTTATGGAATGGCTCCACTCTCTTCACTCACCACAGGTCGATGTAGGCACCCTGCCAACTCAGCTCTCCCTTTGACTCGCCGGCCCTCAAATTCAATGTCGAAGCAGCGGGACCTTGGGCAGCTCGGCAAGTCGTGGCGGGACCCCATCAAGCCACGGTGGGACTTCGGCAAGCTGTGGCAGGAGCAAGTTGGGACCTCAGATGGTTGGCAAATCATCTTAAATTCTTCTTGGGATGAGAGAATTCATCTTCCTCTGTTTGGGGCTCCCCACTCTGTATTATGTTGAATTCTAAGATGACTATCTCAGACAGCCTCTGTAGCCAGTTGTTATCTATCAGCCATCTTGCTCCCCCCCCAAGGTTTCTTTTGTGGTCTATCATATGATGTATCTGGGACAACGTTCCATTTGCTGATAAGAAGGATGTGTGTTCAGCACCTGTCACATGGCTTGTTCTGTAGATGTCTGTTAGGTACATTTGGTCCAGATACAGTTCAATTCTGCTGTTTCTTTGTTGATTTTTTTATTCTAAAGACAATAAAACCAAGCAAAACAGAACAAAACCAATCCAAATAAACCAGTGACACAGAACTTCAAAACAGTACAAAATCAACAATGGTTAATATAATGCCTCCTGCTGTCTTCAAAATAGCTGCAGATACCTTCAGACATGGTAAAGATCAAACAAAACAGAGCATAATAGAACCAATAAAAACAAAGCAATGAATGCAATAAAGGACTTCAAAACAAGATAAGAGTAAATCCAAAATGGCTACCATAATATATCTTGTTATCTTTGAATAGCTGCCCATGCCATAAGATATAATAAAATCAAACAAAACAAAACAAAACAAAACCCAACAAAACAATGAAAGTGATACAGGACTTCAAAACAAGACGATAAGGAAACAACAATGCCCATCACATATTGCCATCATCTGAATAGACGATCAGACCAACAGCTACAGATCTGCAAAGTCAGTGAAACACTAAACACTACAAGAATTAAGTTGTATTCCACCCAATTAGCCATCATCACAGCCTGTGTTTCTCTGGATCAGCCAATTGCTTACAGCAGGGGCAGGGGGCTCTTCTTGGTTCCCAGGTCGTGTACCAGAAGGGGCTGGCATCTGGCTCCCTCACCAGTGACCCACATATGGTGCTGACTGACAGGAAGTCAGCTTGCCTCTTTTCCCCTACAGTCTTGTAGTGCTGACTCACAGGAAAAGGCTGGTGTCTGGCTCTCCCTGCAGTGGCCCGGGCATGGTGATTTGCCAAGAGCACTTGCTTCTTGATAACTTCTTGTTCTCTTCCTCTTTGTTGATGTTTTTGTGTGGATGACTGTCCATTGCTGAGGGTGGGGTGTTAAATCTCCTATTATTGTATTACAGTCTCTCTTTTCCTTTAGGTCTATTAATATTTGCTTTATAAATTTGAATGCTCCAATAATAGTTGCTTTTCTTGTTATTGTTGTTTTGGTTTTTTTTTTTTTTGTACCAGGGATCAAACACATAAACTCGTGCTTGACAGGCAGGCACTTATGCCACTGAGCTAAATCCATGACCCATGGTTGCATATTTAGAACTGTTATTTCCTTTTTCCTGAAATTTATTTCAATAGTTTTATAATGACCTTCTTTGTGTGTGTTTTTTTACTGCTTTTGATTTTAAAGTCCATTTTATCTGATAGAAAAATTGGCCACTCCTACTTTCTTGTGGATTCCATTTACATGGACTATCTCAGCCATTGCTTCCCTTTCTGTTCGTGTCTATAGAAGTGAATAACTTTCTTTTAAGCAATATATAGTTGAGTCTTGTTTACTATCCATTCTGTCACTCTATATCCTTTAATAGGAGAATTTAATCCATGTTTGATATTTTATTTTGTTTTAAAAAAGTACACTGTAAATTATAACTGTTTGAATGACTCTAATGGAAAGCACTGATACAGAGAGATTTGTTAAATACATCTGCTTGATGATGAAAGAAACTATTAGATATTGCTGATTTGTATAGAAACTTCTCCAAGTGGTAGGAAGTTTAGATTTTAGGTTAGTAGTAAGATGTTCAGATTTTCATGCTGATACTTTTTTGATGAGTTTTAAGAGTGTCAGTTATGGTCAGATTTCATGAGGATTAAATAAGTTTTCCCATGACCAGGTCACTGGTAGAGCAGCATCTCAGTTGGCTCCCCCTTTACCCTATAACACCACTTCCAGCCTAATCTCAGGCTGGAAAAGCATTTAATTCATTTATATTGATTCAAGGTAATTATTGATGGACAATGTGTTACTGCATCCATTTTATAACTTGTTTTCTAGTTTTGCTCTAGTTTCTTTTTTCCTGTCTTACAGTCTTTGCAGTTAACTGATTTGTTCTAGTAGTGTGTTTTGAACCCTTGCTTACTTATTTTGATTTATCTATTATAGAGTTTTACTAGCATATATTCAATATATTCACTATGTGGAAACCATTATATACAACAATCTCAATTCTTCTTCAATTCTGTAAGGTAACTGTAATTATAGCCACACTACAAATGAATAAACTGGGGCTTAAAGAGCATAGTTTGACCAAAGACTTTCAGTCTATAACTGAAAAGATGATATTTTTCGCCATACTGCACTAAGGCTCAATTCCATTATTTTGGTCTCTTCCTGTTTCTGTGATCTTCGAAGACAATAATTAGTTAACCAAGTGAATTATTCCATGCTGAGGGGGAAGACCTGAGACCATCTAATAATATGAAACTTGATAGTGGCTTTCAGAGACCAGGTGTTGAATTACAGGGTGGTCCCAAACAGAGGCTTGAGGAGGGGAATTCAAGCCAATCAGAGGAATCTAAGGTAACACCTTGGATTCACAGAAGAGAACCCTGGGAACTGCCACACATCACCAGACAGCCCTTCCTTGCAGGGCTGTATCTGAAATTGTCTGTATCTGAATTTGTCTGAATTATGTCTGTATCTGAAATTGTAGCTTTGACTGGTGCCTCCCTCATTTTCCTCTGCACCTACCCAGATGCTAAAATTTGACAGGACATCTTCCAAGCAGTCTGCAATACTAACAAAAGTAATATCCCAAGGTAATGTGGGACCTCCACTATCAGAAGTGAATATTCCAGAGTTTAAAGTTCTTTTTTTAGAAGATTATGTAAATTTAAAGGAAGAAAATCACAACATAGAATACCATGAAAACAAGATATATGTTTCAAACCTTACCCTTCACTATAGAATAAACATATATGCTCATTGAATATTTATGAATAAGTGCTCTGTGCAACTCTGATTCAGTATATTTATGGTAGCAAACTATTTAGGGTGGATTAGTACATTCTGAGCAATGGCTCCCAACTTTATTGACATGACCAAATTGTTTTCACACAAAGCAGGGATTAAGTTTTGAAATCTATGAACAAGCCTTTTAGATGTTTTAATGGAAAGTATACATATATAATCAGATATATGACCATCAGATTGATATTTTATCTGCTTTAACATTCAATTCCATAAGCATGTGACAGGTAGGATACTCTGGGGGAATACTTTGAGAAGATATATGCAGGTATGATATGAAAACTCTACATCCTTCTTTCACCAATTGATACAAAATCTGCAAGAAATCTTATACCAGATAGCAGCAAAAGAAGTTTGCGCCAGAGTTTCAGAACTAGTTAGTTGGCTTGGTGTTTCAGCTACCAAAGAGGAAGAATAACAAAGAGAAAACTCAACTAACAAAATGCTATAGGTTCTCAGCAATGCCAAACAGCCTGCTCCATCTGAAGGAATGATTTGGGACCTTGAAGAATTGACTTTTCTATGTCGATTCATAAGAAATTGCAGGATCTCTATTCATTCTCCTTGTAAATTATAGCACCGTAAACCTAAATACAAAGGTTGAAAAATATGTCTCACTAGCTTGATTTTTTTCCTAAAAATTTTTGTTCAGATTTTATAAAACACACATATCTCTTCCAAAATATCTAATCTGGCACTCTAGGTTAAAAACAACAACAATTTATTTCAGAGACAGCAGCTGAATAGCAAAAAATCAAAATCTACATGAAATATAGGATACTATAGCACATTAGAAAGGTCTTGGTTAAAGCAGCAACTCTTATTTCTGGCTTGGAGATACAGCTTACTCTGCACTGAGAAGAACCTTGCATACTGATGAAACACAGCAATGTCTGTTGAAGCCATAAATACTATTTTGAAAAAAATCTCACTGATCACAGTTCACAGTTGGAGACATAACGCTATTCCCATAAATCATCAGCATTTGAAACACTGGCATCTGACAGGACCTAACACTTTGTGGCTCTTTGTCTACACACACCTGAGTGTTGTGTATTCAAAGTAACTGTGTTGTGGTTAGGAGTCAAAATGTTAGAACGATCTCTAAGCAATGGTTCTCAAACTTTAGCTGCATCAAAATCCCATGAAGCACCTGTTAAAACCCGTGTTTCATTCTCACTCCCAGAGATTCTGGCAGGCAGGTCTGGCTTGGGGTCCATGAATGAGCATTTCTAACCACATCTGCAGAGGAAGGAGATGCTGCTGGTCTTAGGGATACACTAGGGATGCCACTGCTCTAAGGTCCTTTTCAATTCTGAGTTTAGCCTACACTTTAGCCTCAGTCAATAGCAAAAATCCTTAGAACCAGTATTTCAGGGCACTCACCTGCGCAGAATCACGAGTGGGGTTCCTGGTCACACATACACATCTGCCCTTGCACTTCAGGACTCACGTGCTGCACGACACTCATCAATATTTCCAGCGTCTGGGGAGATGCTTGGGACTCTGACGCCCCAGCTCTCCAGGAGGCCTTGCACACCTGGGTGCAAACTTCTGGAGGAGAGAGTGGAAGGCCAGTGCACGGCTGCAGGTGCGCAACCCAGCCAGCAGCCAAAGCCGTGCTGCAGGGCCCTTTTAAGCCGGTGCTGACTTCTGCCCTGAGCCTGGCTCTCCCCTGGGGCTATTAACTCTTAGAGGATTTTAGTAAGAATTACCACAGATGTCCAGCTGTTGGCTTTGTCTAAACTGTCCAGCATCTGGCTGCAAGGAACCTGGAAGCTGCCAAAGAAACTTGAGAAGGCAGAGTTTCTCAGAAGCTGAGCTGAGATCACCGCTGCGGTTCACCACTGTTGGCTCCAAGCTATGTGATTCCTCAGAATCAGCTCTCAGGAACTAGAGAAATCCACAGAGGAACAATGTCCTAAGGGAAGCAGAAGTAAGAGAGAGTGTAAGTGTCCACTCAGTGCACGGGTCAAGGAAAAAACTCGGAGAGCAGGGACTATGCTTACATAAATGGCTTATGTTTTATGTTTGCTGCTTTTCATGGATGTGTGCTCAAGGCTGAAATTACATGGTGATAGATGATAGAGATTAGGATAGGTTAGGATAGGATAGGATAGGATAGGATAGGATAGGATAGGATAGGACACGATAGGATACAATAGGATAGGAAAAATTTAGGTTGCCCATAAGATAGCATGTTGGAATCACATTCACTGGTGAAAGTTTGTCAAAGAACCGAGAAGAAAGGAGAGGTTGACACTTTTGCAAGACAAGAACCTCCACAGCACCAGGACTGACTCTGAGATTGCTTCTGAAATTAATTAGACCATCCCTGTCTCAGAAAGAACAATTTGGCAGGATAAGCAGTTAAATGAAAACTATCAGAATGTTTTTTTCTCCCTCCAACTCCCACAAAGGACACAAACCTATAACTGCTTTTCTTTTTGTTTTTCATTAATAATGAAAAATGATGAAAAGGGAAATGATTTTCCCCAAAAGAGACTATTTGCTCCACTCTGAATCCTTAGTGCGGCCAGAGTGATGAGGTGTTCTGCACAGAACACCCTAAAACCCTGGATCTGAACTCCAAGACTTGCTTTCACTGTCAGTGAGCACTGGGTTCAGTGTGGGTTGCCACAGACAATGTGTCATTGGTCACTAGAGTGGAACACAGGGACCTTGAGTGGTGGAAAATCAGGAAGCTCAAGTCTGAGGTACAAGATAAACTTCACATTCATTCCGGTCCAGGAGGAAACTTTATTCCTGCTACATCAATACAACCTCAGTGACCATGAATTTGCTATTCAAATGTTCTTCCAACTGAAATTACAGCCCTGAATCATTGTCAGAGAAGGCCTGCTTTACTTCTGGAGAAGGGTAAGGTTTTTCTTCATAATAAGGCAATATTCAAATAGTACTGAAATCAAAAGGAAGTTGCTTTCTTTTTAGAAACACTTCTCTGAAAAGATTACCACAGAAATTGTTTTAAACTTATAATACAATTGTGATTTAACTTTCATAATCACAATATAAGATAAAACGGCTTGGGGATCTACTACCCTTTCTACAAAATTCAACATTTTCCTTTCCTTTTGTCTGCTTATAAAATGGAAGAAATATTTCCCTAAAGAAATTGTAATGCAAAATTCATCCTTTACTAGAAATTTCACTTATTCTCTTAAAAGTACATTAATTTAGTTCAGAAAGTAGGATTTTGAAGCTGATCACCTGAAGGAATTCAGATGCTAAAAGCACCAAGTTTTTGATTTCCTAACACCGAAAAGAGCTCAAGTGGACTTACATTACTTTACCTGACTCAGATTTCACTTAGAACATTTTCTTTGTAGGAGCAAAAGGCATTGAAAAAAAGAGAAAAAAGTCAGAATTTCAAAGTGTGTAAAGGTTACTAAATTTCTTTCTAGAATTCATGATTAGTTCTATTTATCTTTCGTTATTCAACCTTCACAATTTTTGTTTTCTGGCACTGTCTTAAATAAGGAGCTAAAATCAAAGAGACAAATCTCAAACTCTGCATTCACCAATTACCACTGGGAAACACTGATAATTCTAAAAATTTGAAAACCAAATTATCTGATGTGTGAAAATGACTTTTAATCAGAGATTGTTTAAATAGACTATAACTGACTTTCTCCTTGATGCAATCAGAATTATTAAAAGAGAAAAGAGCAGGGGCTGGGGATTTAGCTCAGCAGCATAAACACCTGCCTTGCAAGCAGGCAGTCATAAGTTCAATCCCTGGTACCTATTTTTAAAAAAAATTTAGAAAAGAGAAAAGAGCTGTAAACATTTTCCTCAATGTAAGTTTGTCACACCTGTACACCACTAAATTTAAAAAATTAATAATAGCCAGGCATGGTAACACATACTCATAATTCCAATACTCAGATGAGGCTGAAAGATCACAAGTTTGAGGCCAGCTTAGGCAGTTTAGTAAGACCCTATATCAAACTAAAAAGTAAAAGACACTGGAAATGTGGCTCAGCAGTAAAGCACTCTTGGGTTCCACTTCAGGTATTATAAAAATTATTTTAATTTAACAATAAAAACATATTGTAGATAATTAAAACCAATACACTCTCACGTCTTTACAAATATTATTGGAACTGACTAGGGTTTCCTTTCTCTGCATGAAAGCCATACTGAGAACAAGCAAAAATGACTTCACTGTTGGTCCTAAATGACAAGATTATGACCAACTGAAATAGCTTATTTATCAATATTAACCAGTTTCCTGAAGAAGACTTCCTCTGACTCCTTCATTTCCTTGTATCCAACAACCCACAGATATAATGTAAAGAACTCTGCCCAAAGCCAACTGTTTCTCTGGCTTGCAAACCCACCTAAAATTCATTTGCCCAGAACCTTAATCCTTTGCAGGCACTACTAAGAGAATGTCAGTGGTGTTTCCCTCTGTCACAACCAGGCTCATCAACAGGGTTTTCTGGCACTCCCCTGGGGAACCCAACAGTTGAGAGCACAGTGTAACCAAGGTGCATTGTTTTATGTTTTGGCATCACAGAGGAAAGCAAAACAAGCAAAAGCAAAAAAGCAAAAGCAGTGTATAGGGTGGTTAGGGGGCAGAAGAATTGATAACCGCTCAATAAGAAGGTGACACTGAAGGACTTAGTGGGACCCAAAATGTACAAAGCACCCTGAGAAAGTGAAAGGGAGGAATTGTTTCAAAAAGAAAGGTAGAGGACATCGTTAATAGTGTAACAGGATTTAAAAGCCACATTATTCTTATCTCTCTATTTAGTTTGATTTTATTCTGTTCCAGTCTGTCTACTCATACTAGATTTGAGGGCACAGATAGCTAATCCAAAAATAGCAGGGTATACTATGGTAACTATCCTTAATTTCCTATTAACTTAACCTGAAGCCCTATATTACTTACACTATCTTACTATGATTCATCTTATTTGAATCTGGTTTATTAGATCGCTGTTTTGTCTGATTTTTGACTGATTTTATTCGAATCTGGTATGCTTGATAGTATAAAGTCTGAGAGTAGAGGCAACTACTCTGAAGATGACAAGATGCAAAAAGACACCCATTCCGGTTTGATTATTAACTGCTTTTGAAGTCCTACAATGTCTCCAATGTTGTGTTTTTATTAATGTTGCTATGTAGTGCTATGTTCAATTACACTATGCCTGATGATATAGACAATTCTATTGAAAATAACAAGAGACATCATAGTAACTGCTGTAGATCGCCTAGTATGGTGATTTTATATGTCTTTTTCATTTCACGTTTTTCTAGGAATTTGTTTTGTTTTATCTTGTTTTGATTTGTTTTTCCCTCTAATACAGAAAGGATAGGTATACAGGTAGAGATTCATGCATGCATAGAACTTCTACAGTTTACAAGAACTGATTATATAATGCACAATGCAATGAACAGATACTCTGAAGAAAAAGAGACACTAAGGTACCCAGTTCTAATTCCATAGCACCATAATATAAAATCTACAATACTATTATTCTCTGTCCAGAGTGATATTAGTCTGTTTTCTTTTATTTAATTTCAATATACATAAAGATATGGACAGCTGTTTTGAAGAGAACGAGAGACATATTATGACAGCCATTATTGACTTCCCCATTATCAGGTCTTGAAAACCTAAAATGCTTTCATCATTCTGTTCTGATTAGTTTAATACTATCTTGTTCAGTATGAATTCATTGTGTGTGAAGATATGGACAACTATTTGGAAGAATGCAAGAAACAATATGATAGACAGTGACGCTCTCCAGTGGTCTTACTTTGAAACCTGTGTTTCTTAAATTGTTTTCTTCTGATCTGTTTTGTTATGTTTAATCTTACCCTCTTTAAAATAAAAAAAAAAAGAAGGTGACACTGTCACAGAATCCAGGACTAGACCACAGGGAACAATAGCACCAGAGGGACTTTGGAAGGCACACAGGTTTATTATTCCAGCAGACTTGTGGGAATCTCAGTTCCAAATCATTAGCTCCAACTTGAAGTTAATAGTCACTTATATATGTTTTCAGAAGGAAGTACAAAAGGCAGATAACATAATATTCTGCTGTTGGTTACACGTCTTTGTCAGTAATTTCTAGGTAGAATTTATTTACTTTTACAGAAACTAATGAAGTTACTATTGTATAACAGGAAGGAAGAATCAATCGTTGTCTGAGGTTGGGCAGAGGTTCTTTGAAATGATAACTCTCTGGAACTTGAAAGTAAGCAAAACATTTCTGACAGGCTAAGCTACACTGGAGTGGTAAGGCTTGTTAAGTTTGTAGCTCTCTAACCATGGGAACAGGCTGTGTTTCCCAGTATCAACATTGAACAGGATTAGAAATATGATTAGTATTAGAAATACAAGTTTTACCATTTCCTCTACATTTTAAATGGCCTCTACAATAGGAGACTAAGTCCCAAAAAGTCCCACGTCCAACTCTGCAAGGCCTGGGAACCATGTCTCTTTAGGAACAACACTTCATCTCCAAGAACTGTTAGAAGCAGAAACATCAAGAGTTCCTGGTAAAAAGAAGGGCAACTTCCTAGGATCCTGAGAGGTCAAGACAGTCTCAGACAGACAAAATGAGCAGAAACTTTATCTAGTTTTGGAGAGGAAGATGAATATGAAAAAATAGAAAGGTCCCCAGGGTGGGCAGAAGTCTGAAACCTCAAATCACAAGTCTCAGTACTGTATCCAGCTAAGAAAATAGTGAGTCTTTCCAAACAGTCCAAACCA